CGGGAGTAGGTGGAGTTACGGGAGGTGCAACTGGCCCGTCTGTGATCACTGGTGTTGCCGGAGGATCGAGAGGGGCTTCGGTTGGCGTCGGTGCTACGGCCGGAGGTTCACTTGGCGGCTCCACCGGTTGCTGGAACATTTTTAAAATAAAAGCAAGCGCGGCCGTCGGGAGTGGTTAGGTTTAAACAAGGGGCGCGCGCTGCCTAGCGAATTCGAAACCGGTTCGGCCGTTATTACTGATAACTATTGCCATGCATACGACAAAGGCGCAATTGAGAAGGAGGCTTCGAGATAACATGAGAGGGCACCGTGTGATTTCCGGCCGACTTGTCACAGAAGAAGCAGTGTAGATGTTTGCTGAGGAGAGACAGACCGAGAGCACGCCAGAACTGCAGCTAATTTCGTGTGCACCATGTTCATCATTCTTGCAGCAGTAGTGTGGGGGGATATTTTCGGTTCTTACTGTGCAAGCAGCTTGATCATTCGTGTCAGAAACAGTTTGGCTTGTTTTCAACCGGTCGCACAGCAGCTGTAGTCGATCGTATGCATACAAAACTCAATTTTGACAGGTCGTCTGTGTCAGAGGGAATCCTCCTGAGAACTCATCTCCCGCCTTTGCTCGAACGGTTCAACCAGTGGTGAGATGTCGTTAACGTCGCGAACAGTGCACCCCGAGCTTAATAAATGTTTGCAATCCTCGGCCTCAAAACGAAATTAAGGCAACACTCCCCGATTGCGCAACACACGCCCTACATCGCTGTCCTCATTTTGGTCAGATTACTTGAAAATCTACATATCACGCTGTCGCCCGAACGTAGCATGCAGATTTCTTGATTTCATCGGGAAAAAACAATTCTCTTTGTTGTCATCGTATCATCGTGACAAAAGTCGGCCTACAATAATGAGTTGTTCGCCTCTAACGAATTAGAACTGCAGGCAGGTCTAATGAAATCGTACGGGCACGCTCGATACCAATCGTCGGCAAAGAGGTGTTGAGGTGTGGTATTGTTGCACTCGGCACTACCGAAGCTTGATTTTGAACGTCCATGAACTCAGGTTTCGGCTATCAGACCAAGCACGCAAGAGAAGACCCCCCTCCTCGCTTCCTCTCGGACAGGGGTATGTCACATGTCGGGGCCGTGGGGAACAGTTGAGCGCTACGTGCGTGTTATCGTGGAACGATAGCAAAACATGGTCACGCCATGCAACATGGTCAACGTAAAAAAAAACTCGTAGATAGCACAAGCTCGAGGTGATACGCGAGGTGATACGCAAGTATGAAGCGAGGGAGGGGAGAGATGATGGACTCCACGTATCATGCAGACAGCAAGCCCCTACCCGGCGAGACACAAGGATGACAGCAACCAGAAGGGGACCGGCCGGACATGTGTGCCATGCTCGAGTCGGACATACACACCACGGGACTCCCTACAGTACCCCCACTACTTGACGCAACGGGGTACAAGGTGTGCGCCCTTGAGACGCAACACTTGCAGGAAAAAACCCGGCAGAGAACACAGCGTCATGCCCAAGTGAAAGCGACAGTAAACAATTGCTCAAGTTGACGAAATCGCAAGACGTATTCTTGGCAACAATCGCCTCGTTCACACCTCCAACACTGGAAAGACGTCAACACAAAATACATACGGTACCATCGGGCCCTGAAAAGAGGGAGAGGGGCCCTTCTNACCGGCAGAGGACACAGCGTCATGCCAAAGTGAAAGCGACAGTAAACAATTGCTCAAGTCGACGAAATCGCAAGACGTATTCTTGGCAACAATCGCCTCCTTCACACCTCCAACACTGGAAAGACGTCAACACGAAATACATACGGTACCATCGGGCCCTGAAAAGAGGGAGAGGGGCCCTTCTGTGTTACCACGGATTGGAGGTAGCTCCACTTCGGCGGAATAGGCTTTGAGCTGTGAGCGCTGACTCAACGTGACGAAGAAAAGGAAACGAGCACAGGACTTACCTCTGTTACGGGTGGCGCGACCGGAGCTACGGGTGCCGCGGTGGTTGGCGTCGGTGCACCCACCGGTCCCTGGAAAACATGACGGAAAAAAGCGGCAGGAAGCACACAGGAAACATACGAACGGGGGCGGGTTGAACAAAGGGGAGGGTGGGAGGACATATACATGCTTCAGTACATGCTTCACGTTGGAAGCCGACGAAATAGTGCGTTGTCCGCTGACTTCTTTCCGCAGGCTTTGGGCTTGTGCAGCTGCAGAGGTGCCGTCGTGTAGTAGACCGTGATGCACGCAAAACAATCACTTGGCATTGGCGTCACAAAGGAGTTCAGCAAATCGGAGCTCGAAAGCAAAGCCGGTGAAGATTGGCGGCTGCGTTTGGGAGAGACGTCGTGGTATGTATATTGTCGCTCGCCGTGTGGCTTACAAGGGTTCCACGGACCTCTCTAACACGCAACAGCAGTGGTGGCGAACCATGAGTAGGGTTTTCCTTCAGGGGGAGCAGCCTGAGCGGCTCCCAGCTGTAGTCATGCAGAGCGCCATCGGCATGTATAAGGGTTCGCCTGACCCTTGACTAATGTAAAAAAAGAAAAGGTATGCTCGCGTATGCTCGAAGAGCAACGCTTCACGGAACAAGGGCTTTTGGTAGGAGGTTGCGGAGCTTTAAACCTGGTGAGTCACGTCGGCGGGAGAGACATGCATCACTGCCAAAGCCTTCTTCGTCCTGTTGGCTGAGTCGCGCAGGCACATAAAAGCGAGCTGCCGTTTGTCTGGTGTCGTGTCTCTCAATTGCACCCCGAAAGTCATGCTATCGGACTTCGCCAGCCGTGTGTTGGTAGTACAACGTGGCAACAAGCCACAGGTTGCTGTGGTGCTACAACAAGGCTTCAGCTCTTTGACCGGCTCTATACCGGACACTAGCATCATGCAGTGATACATAGGATGCAGTACAGGAGTGGACACTCGTGCCCAGGGATTTCACCGCCACTACACTCGTACACCGTCTTACTCAGTCCCAACCGCCAGGCCACCAGACAATAACACGTAGCGAGACACAACCCACCTCTGTTTCAGTTCCAGCCGTCGGGGTTGTTACGGGGGGGGGTTGTATTGGTTGCTCTGAGGGGGGGGTGACCGGAGGCGCCACTAGCGGCCCCGGCGTCTCTGAAGGAGAAGGCATTGGGGCTAGAGCCGGCTCCGCGACTGGCTGAGACTGAGAAATTGGTTCTGCCGTGACCGGTGTATTTGGCGCCGGTGTCTCTGGGACTGTGCNAAGCCGGCTCCCCGACTGGCTGAGACTGAGAAAATGGTTCTGCCGTGACCGGTGTATTTGGCGCCGGTGTATCTGGGACTGTGCGAGCCAGCGGTGGGTCCACCGGCGTGGAGGGCGAATCAGTAATTGGCTGAGCCACTACGATAGGCTGAGGCTGAGGGGTTGTGTCTGCCGTGACCGGTGAATTGGGCGATGGTGTCTCTGGCACTAGTGGACTCACCGGTGAAACCACGGATGTGGTGGGTGAATCCGTCTCTGGCTGCGCTACTACGACCGGCTGAGGCTGAGGTGTTGGTTCTGCGGTGGCCGGTGTATTGGGCGCTGGAGTGTCTTGCACTATTGGAGTAGGCGGTGGAACCACCGGTGTGGTGGGTGCATCCGTCTCTGGCTGCGCTACTACGACCGGCTGAGGCTGAGGTGTTGGTTCTGCGGTGGCCGGTGTATTGGGCGCTGGAGTGTCTTGCACTATTGGAGTAGGCGGTGGAACCACTGGTGTGGTGGGTGAATCCGTCTCTGGCTGCGCTACGATGACCGGCTGAGGCTGAGGTGTTGGTTCTGCGGTGGCCGGTGTATTGGGCGCTGGAGTGTCTTGCACTATTGGAGTAGGCGGTGGAACCACTGGTGTGGTGGGGGAATCCGTCTCTGGCTGCGCTACGATGACCGGCTGAGGCTGAGGTGATGGATCTGCGGTGGCCGGTGTATTGGGCGCTGGAGTGTCTTGCACTATTGGAGTAGGCGGGGGAACCACGGGTGTGGTGGGTGAATCCGTCTCTGGCTGCGCTACGATGACCGGCTGAGGCTGAGGTGATGGATCTGCGGTGGCCGGTGTATTGGGCGCTGGAGTGTCTTGCACTATTGGAGTAGGCGGTGGAACCACTGGTTTGGTGGGTGAATCCGTCTCTGGCTGCGCTACTACGACCGGCTGAGGCTGAGGTGTTGGTTCTGCCGTGGCCGGTGTATTGGGCGCTGGAGTGTCTTGCACTATTGGAGTAGGCGGTGGAACCACTGGTCTGGTGGGTGAATCCGTCTCTGGCTCCGCTACGATGACCGGCTGAGGCTGAGGCGTTGGTTCTGCGGTGGCCGGTGTATTGGGCGCTGGAGTGTCTTGCACTATTGGAGTAGGCGGTGGAACCACTGGTCTGGTGGGTGAATCCGTCTCTGGCTGCGCTACTACGACCGGCTGAGGCTGAGGTGTTGGTTCTGCCGTGACCGGTGTATTCGGCGCTGGTGTCTCTGGCGCAGCTACAATCACCGGCTGAGGCTGAGGTGTTGGTTCTGCGGTGGCCGGTGTATTGGGCGCTGGAGTGTCTTGCACTATTGGAGTAGGCGGTGGAACCACTGGTGTGGTGGGTGAATCCGTCTCTGGCTGCGCTACTACGACCGGCTGAGGCTGAGGTGTTGGTTCTGCGGTGGCCGGTGTATTGGGCGCTGGAGTGTCTTGCACTGTTGGAGTAGGCGGTGGAACCACTGGTGTGGTGGGTAAATCCGTCTCCGGCTGCGCTACTACGACCGGCTGAGGCTGAGGTGTTGGTTCTGCTGTGGCCGGTGTGTTGGGTGCTGGTGTCTCCAAGGGAGATATTGGATCCGGAGTCGGGGTTACGACCGGCGAAGGGGTTGGGTTAAGCGCTGGTGGCGTGACCGGAGGGATGGGTTCCGGTGTGTCTACGGGGGATGTTGGATCAGGTGTTGGTATTGTCACCTGCGAAGGGGTTGGGTCAAGCGATGGTTCTGCTGTCATTGGAGATACAGGTCCTGGTGTCTCTGCGATAGATGTTGGGTCAGGAGTCGGTGCTACCACGGGCGACGAGGTTGAGTCAAGCGATGGTCCTCCTGTGACCGGAGGAACAGGTCCTGGTGTCTCTACCGGAGGAGTTGTTGGATCGGCAGTCGGTGCCACGACAGGTGACGGGGGGTCAAGCGATGGTTCCACCGTCACTGGAGGGACAGTGCCCGGTGTTCCGGCGATAGGTGTTGGATCAGGTGTCGGTTCTACCACCGGCGGCGGTGTCAGGTCAGGCGATGGTTCTGCCGTCACCGGGGGCACAGGCGCTGGTGTCTCCACCGGAGGGGAGGCTGGATCCGGAGTCGGTGCTGTGACAGGCAATGGGGTGGGGTCAAGCGAAGGTTCTGCCGTCACCGGGGGCACAGGCGCTGGTGTCTCCACCGGAGGGGAGGCTGGATCCGGAGTCGGTGCTGTGACAGGCAATGGGGTGGGGTCAAGCGAAGGTTCTGCCGTCACCGGGGGCACAGGCGCTGGTGTCTCCACCGGAGGGGAGGCTGGATCCGGAGTCGGTGCTGTGACAGGCAATGGGGTGGGGTCAAGCGAAGGTTCTGCCGTCACCGGGGGCACAGGCGCTGGTGTCTCCACCGGAGGGGAGGCTGGATCCGGAGTCGGTGCTGTGACAGGCAATGGGGTGGGGTCAAGCGAAGGTTCTGCCGTCACCGGGGGCACAGGCGCTGGTGTCTCCACCGGAGGGGAGGCTGGATCCGGAGTCGGTGCTGTGACAGGCAATGGGGTGGGGTCAAGCGAAGGTTCTGCCGTCACCGGGGGCACAGGCGCTGGTGTCTCCACCGGAGGGGAGGCTGGATCCGGAGTCGGTGCTGTGACAGGCAATGGGGTGGGGTCAAGCGAAGGTTCTGCCGTCACCGGGGGCACAGGCGCTGGTGTCTCCACCGGAGGGGAGGCTGGATCCGGAGTCGGTGCTGTGACAGGCAATGGGGTGGGGTCAAGCGAAGGTTCTGCCGTCACCGGGGGCACAGGCGCTGGTGTCTCCACCGGAGGGGAGGCTGGATCCGGAGTCGGTGCTGTGACAGGCAATGGGGTGGGGTCAAGCGAAGGTTCTGCCGTCACCGGGGGCACAGGCGCTGGTGTCTCCACCGGAGGGGAGGCTGGATCCGGAGTCGGTGCTGTGACAGGCAATGGGGTGGGGTCAAGCGAAGGTTCTGCCGTCACCGGGGGCACAGGCGCTGGTGTCTCCACCGGAGGGGAGGCTGGATCCGGAGTCGGTGCTGTGACAGGCAATGGGGTGGGGTCAAGCGAAGGTTCTGCCGTCACCGGGGGCACAGGCGCTGGTGTCTCCACCGGAGGGGAGGCTGGATCCGGAGTCGGTGCTGTGACAGGCAATGGGGTGGGGTCAAGCGAAGGTTCTGCCGTCACCGGGGGCACAGGCGCTGGTGTCTCCACCGGAGGGGAGGCTGGATCCGGAGTCGGTGCTGTGACAGGCAATGGGGTGGGGTCAAGCGAAGGTTCTGCCGTCACCGGGGGCACAGGCGCTGGTGTCTCCACCGGAGGGGAGGCTGGATCCGGAGTCGGTGCTGTGACAGGCAATGGGGTGGGGTCAAGCGAAGGTTCTGCCGTCACCGGGGGCACAGGCGCTGGTGTCTCCACCGGAGGGGAGGCTGGATCCGGAGTCGGTGCTGTGACAGGCAATGGGGTGGGGTCAAGCGAAGGTTCTGCCGTCACCGGGGGCACAGGCGCTGGTGTCTCCACCGGAGGGGAGGCTGGATCCGGAGTCGGTGCTGTGACAGGCAATGGGGTGGGGTCAAGCGAAGGTTCTGCCGTCACCGGGGGCACAGGCGCTGGTGTCTCCACCGGAGGGGAGGCTGGATCCGGAGTCGGTGCTGTGACAGGCAATGGGGTGGGGTCAAGCGAAGGTTCTGCCGTCACCGGGGGCACAGGCGCTGGTGTCTCCACCGGAGGGGAGGCTGGATCCGGAGTCGGTGCTGTGACAGGCAATGGGGTGGGGTCAAGCGAAGGTTCTGCCGTCACCGGGGGCACAGGCGCTGGTGTCTCCACCGGAG